CCCCAAAACCCCAAAACCCCAAAACCCCTTTTTAACCAGCTTTTATTGAATAAGCTGGATTCTCTTCAAACATAAGAGAATTGGTTTTACCTTTGTAAAAGTATTGGCAACACAAGAACTTAGTGTAAAGATATTTGCATTAGATAAAATAATGAAATTCCTTATTCGTCTCCGAAAGCTCCTTCAGGCTCAGCAAGCTCGAATGGTTTTCTTTCTTGTCCAACAGCATAGTAGACTGAATCTCCATTCCAGTATTGCCCTTGATTGGCAGCGTAGTTCTGGTTTACTATATTAATTATCAACAAAAGATTGTTGAAAGTAAGGCTTACTTCTTCCATAGGCAAGATTTTCTCTAGCTGGGCCTCTGTTGACAGTAGCGTGTGCGGCTGGTTCAACAGCGTATGCGACGGGTTCAGCAGCTACATAGGTGTTTGGTTCAAAAACGTAATCTCCAGCATCATAGAATCTATCTCTGATTGTAGTGACAGTGCTATCGTTATTGCCTCTTCCATTTCTGTAGTTAGAGTCATCTTGAATGCCATCATCCAACCTGTAATGTTTGTTTTTATCGAATGGATCGACATAGGTGTCATCTTTGACTTCCCCATTTCTTCTATTTCTCCTATTTTGCTGATCTCTTTGCCTTTGATTGTATTCAGCTTGTTGTCTTTTCTGCTCCTGGATTCTTTGTTTCTGTTGGTCTTGAGTTTGCTGTCTTTGTTGTCTCTGCTGGTACTGTACTTGCTGTCTCTGTTGCTGATTACCTCTTTGAACTTGAGTCGTAGCAGAGCCAGGAGGGGGAGCTCTTCTAAAATATGTTAATTCAAAGTGTAAAATCTTTGGTTTTTCAAAGATATTTATCAAATAGTTCCCTAACTAACTTTTAACGAATATCTTGAATAATATTAACTAGAAATAATGTTACCTTTGGTTCTGTTGGTTGGAATCATTTGGAATAGTGCTTACTTTCTCTCCATTATCAAATTGTCTGATCTTATTGGCAATGATGTCGGTAGTATCTTGAGATGGTTTGGCTCTCCATATCTCTTTGTTTTTATGATATGCAATAATATATGGAAGTTCCTTTACTCCATAATCATCGGGAACATTTCTAAGAGAATCAATGCCAGAATCAATCTCGAGTGTTGGGTATTTATCAGAGAGAATCAATTGATACTCCTCGTCCAAATTATTGTTTGACCCAAAAATGTTGAACATACTTTGGAAGAAGCCTTCATCTCTTTTATTGTTGTTACTAATATCATGGAAAAATAGAATATAATCTTCCCCATCATGCTTAGATTTGAAGTCAGAGACATCTGCTGGGACTGAAGCATCTTCCATCCAAGAATCTCCGATCTCACAAGCTGCAAGTGCAAAAAGTGTAGCTAAAACCAAAAACTTTATTTTCATTTCAAATAAAATTATTTAGTTTAAATTTTAGGTTTATAAATAGGGGTTTTGGGGTTTTGGGGTTTTGGGGTTTTGGGG